CACGGCAGTATCATGACGTGAGCGTGTGGCGGCATTGACCCAGATCCGGCGTGATGACGTCACATGCTCGCGTCATGATACTGTCGTGAACACGCGTCCACAAGTGACGCAGTAAAGACGAAAATGTGGAATAAAGTCATTAATTTTGTTTTCTTTGCGCAAAAAAGTATTCTCGTAGCTTTGTAACTTTACAGTTGAACCACTGATGTCACACGGACTACTTTGTCGATCATCTTGGTACTTTTCTGGACCTTGAACGTGGTAGTTACCTTGCTGTCTATGGGAGGGTCAGAGAGCCCTCAGCATCCATCAAAAATATCTTAAATTGTGTTCTGAAGATGAACGAAGGTCTTACGGGTTTGGAACAACACGAGGGTGAGTAATTAATGACAGAATTTGCATTTTTGGGTGAACTATCCCTTTAATGCATTTTATTCACAATTTATTTCTTAACCTCTCAGGAGATGCCTATTTCTTCAAGAACAACTCGTATTGGATTTTGAAGAACGGAGGATTGGACCAAGACAATGTCAGTCAGAAATCAACAGCAGTCGATTGGATGATGTGTCCTGCCAATCCACGTCACAAAGGAGGAAAATGTAACTGTGGCCTGAACGGAGCGTTACAGATGAGTGCTTCATCCTGGTTACTGTTCATCATATTACTGCTTTATCCAGGTGTCCTTGTATAGGGCTTCTTGCAATAACAAGACAAGAGTCATCAGACTTATTTTTACAGACTCTCTCAAAGCGCTTAAAGTGATATCAAATTTCCAAATAGTACTAAGAGCAGCTTCACACGGTAAAAGACAGTTTTATGTTTTGATCTATGCAACTTTAATGTATACATTTATTAAAATGAATTACTTTAAGCTTATTTTAGGATAAAGTTGAAATAAAGAGGCTGAAATTAAATTAATGGAACTGTATAAATACAGCATACATTTAAAAAAAAATGCATGCTGTGGGGTTGGGCATTGTTGGCACAGTGGTTAACCAGAAAAATTAAAAATGGCACTTCATGCCCTGAAGGTTGTTGACCCCTGCTATGATCTCTAGCTGTGATGACAAGTAGGATCCACATGGGGGCATTAACACACAGCAGGGCAGAGGTTTACTACTTCAGCGCATTGTCTAGGCTCATCGTATAAGTTCACAAGGCCTGGAACTAATTTTGCTGGGACATTTTGATAAAGATGTGGGTCCTACCTTGATGCTTTTTTTTTTTTTTGTCTGGGTCTAAAATTTCTTAAATTCATACAAATGCAATTGAAACAAGTGATGCAATCCTCCTGATATCATAATGACGAAAAAGCCTTAATTCAAAGAACATAATTCATGAAATGAAAGTATTATTGTATTACTATTTCTTTGAAAAACAAAAACAAAACGTACTTATACGTAAAACTTTTTTTTCTGCAATTCAAATTATGTGATGCATCCAACGTTCAGATACATAGAAAATGTGTCAAGATCAATTATTTTCTTAAAATATCAGACAATTTGAGCATTTTTAGGAGTCAATGTATAAGTGGGTATTTTAAACTAGATTTCTAAAAGTTTTTTTTTTGTCTTGACCCATGTGCTCATCTGTTATCTGACAGCACAGCTCATCTCAATATTTTTAGCAAACATTGCACAGTATTCCATGTACGCAAGCCCTATCCAAATTTTTTTTCATTCCAGACTTAGAAGACCTCACAACGCAGTTACTTTAGTTTCACTAAAATACTATCATTGTTTTCTTATTATTTTGAATTATTTTTTATTTTTGTATTTTTCTTTTTTTAAATATGTCTATGTAGTTTTCATTATTTTGTATATATATATATATTTTTTTTTTTTCCTCCAGTTTTGCAGTTTTTAGTTAATTTAATACATCAAGATAAACTAAATGAAAATGAGAAATGTAACGTGGGCTGCTAGCTGAAATAAGTTTTCTCCTATAGGAATGTATGTTTGGTGCACACTTCAAGTACATTAAAGTTATTAAAATCAATCCAATGTATAGAGTTGTGCAGAGAGTAAAAGTAATATACTGTATGTATGATAAACCCATAGCAACGCGCTATAACAACCAGGCACGTGCACAGGTAGGGCTCAACCTGTGCAGAGCACATGCCCTTTTTTGTCCTTACACTCCGAAGTGCCCTTTTTTCTTTTTTTTCCTGCGGAGAGAGGGCATTTGCCATCTAAATTAGTCATAGCCAATAGCCTACACTTAAATAGCCTGTGCATACAGTAGCATTTCATCTTTTATAAAATGACATTTTGGCCAAACGTATTTTACAACAGGAAAAACTGAGCGCCCATATAGCTAAAACAAACTTTGTAACCTGTTGATCAAAGCGTAATGTGATGCTGCCGTTTTAATGATGGACAAATTGCACATTTACACACACATTCGCTGGTCAAAAACCCGGCCATAACTGCATTTGAGTTTGACACAAAGCGACTGAATGTTCCTTGTCAGCTAGGTAAAATATATTTCTAAGAAAATTCTTCTTTGATTTATGATGGCTATCTGCTGATACACTTAATTTATTAACATTTAATCATATTATATATGGTCACACTCACAGCATGGTTAATGTTTACGATGTTAATATGCATATTTGCTAGGTAGCTAATTTTTGAATGTAGTATTCTATACCGCTCGCTTATCATTAAGATGTAACCAGTAAAAAAAAAGGGGGGGTGCCCTTTTTCAGTTTCAGCACATGCCCCTCAAAAGGTCTGTGCACGGCCCTGATAACAACGATGTCTCAGATAGTCTGACGGCAGATAATATATATGTTTTTGGTTTTTATTTTTAGTTAACTGTAATAACCCTGCTCAGACTTTGTTCTAGTATTTCAGTGTCACATGTGAGTGTTTGGCTTTTATCACTGCATCAGTCAATGCCATTAGAACTGGAATGTTCAGAATTCACCTAGACACACCTTAGATGGACTTATATCTTCAGGATGATTTTGTCATCTGGAAATGCTAGTTACCTAATTAATTGGAGAAAAAAAAAACGTTCTGCAGTAATCTGTTTGTGTGCACAAAACAATTTTAAAAGAATCCAAGACATGGGCCGAATTCAGAAGAAAGCACCGAGATGAGATAAAAAAGACTGTTTAGCATTCTAAATATTCTTCATTATAAGGTCAGAAATACCAGCTGACTGAGAGACACCTGTGTGTGTGAGCTTCTCTGATTTAAATGGAAGATAGACAATGAAAGTATTTGAACAGTAATTACAGTAAATGCATCTGTGCAAATGCATATATGCATGCATTATATTTTTTTACCAGTAAGATTGCACTTCTGTAAGATGAATTCCTTAGGTTTTTTACATAAAGGTCTGCTCAAAATCAGCCAAGTCAGAAGGGACAGTGGAGGGAGAGTTTTGATGCACTAGTTCTCCAGCAACAGCACTCACACATGCTGTATGCTTTCTTAAAGAGGATGTGCATTCAAAAATGATCGTCATTTACTCCTGTTTATGTTGTTGTAAAACTGTCTTTGTTCTCCTAAACGCACAGTTTTTGTCCATTCAATGAAAGTCAGTGGGTCAAAAACAACATTGCCATTGCCTACCATGACATTTTAAAAATAGCTTCTTTTGTATTTCATAAAGAAAGAAAGTCCTACATGTTTGTAAAGACATAGGGGTGAGTGATATATACATATAGTTACATAAATATTTTGTGTATTATTTTTGTATTTTATATTTTCACAAGCTTTAGTAACTTTGTGCATTTTTGTCATTTTTACTAGATTTTTTGTGTCTACATTTGTCATTCATTTTTATTAATTTAATTGTATTTAGTTATAGTTATTTTAGCACTTCACGTTAAGTTAAAAATAAGAAATGTTGCCTTGGCAAGTAGCTGAATAAAAGTTGATTTTTAAAATATATTACTTTATTTCAGTTAACAAATATTTGGTTTCAGGTAACAAAAATGATGTTTAGAAATGTAGCATTACATCACTTGCTAAGCAAAGGATCCTCTGCAGTGAATGGGTGCCGTCGGAATGAGAGTCCAAACAACTATCAAAACAGGATAAAAATAATCCACACCACTCCAGTCAATCAATTAACAAATCTTGCAGAGGTGTAAAACCAACAAAATCACTCTATTTTGTTGGTTGCCATGTCCCATGTTAATTCATGGGAACATTAGAATTTACAATGACTTACAAAGATACATAACAGCTACAAGTGTATGCACTACTTACTTTATGCAAGCACTATATAGGATAAATCACTATACAGGATTTACCCTATTATACTTTATCCACACGAATTGTTAGGTGAAACATAAACTCACTATTTATATCGGATCAAACCACACAGACGCCTGATTGAACTTGCCATCCACTTTTACTACCACCTCTTACGTGATGACGTCACACCAATACACAACCCAGCCACAACACATAATTGCGAGTAACATGCCTTACCTTAACACAGAATCGACCACAGATTCGAGCGTTTATATTTTTTCTATCTATCTTTGAGTTAACATGTACTAAACATGAGTGGAATTTGCACCGCAGCGCCCCCACACCTTGATGCTCATGACAAGAATAGCATGTATAGTTATCTTTATTGAAATGAATTAGGTTTAAATCGCCGTCATGCATGAATGAATGATATTTTTGCAATTTTACACATAATAATCCACGATGATCACAACCCTTACATCACACACAAAAGCTGGTTAAATAAATTTGATGCACAAATAGAGTCTTGAGACACTGTAGATCAGTGGTCACCAACCTTTTTAGGCCCAAGATCCCTGACCTCGGCCTTTATGAAAGACAAGATCTACCTATTGAAGAATTGATAGAAAAAGACATCCCAGATTGTACTTCAAATTTGAGGCCTTTTACTTAGTATTTTAATTAGTGATGCGCCGATCATAGCTGATTCAGAATTCAGATTTTCTTTTCTTTTTTT